GCTTCCCTGCAGCAAAGGGGAAAGGGCTGATCCCAAATCTGTGCTGAACTGGGAGCCGGGACGTACCAATCTCTCCCCTTCCCTGTAATAAAGCATTTTATTCTCCCCCTCTTCCCAAGCGCCTTTCCCACCCCTCCAAAGTAAGGACAAACCACCTGGTTGCAGAGTCAGGCCACAGCTCCTGCCCTCATCCCACTGCCTGAAGCAGCAGCACCAGCTGCCTGACCTCAGGCACTGCCCGTTCTTCTCTAGAGGATCTCTTGAGGCTGCAAGAAGGGCTTAGAGGTTTTCCATAAAGCATTCTAACAAGGCAGCAGAGGGCAAAAACGGCTGAGTGGACCTGATCAGCAGGTTGGTCACTGCATTTTCAGTTTTGCTCAAGTTTTTTTTCTTTTACCACCAAAGCACTTTGCAAAGGGCTCAATAGACTCTGCAAGCCAAGAGGTCCCTACACCAAAGGCGCTCTATAAAAGGCCAAACTATGAAGAACCTTTTCGCTCGAGTCTCTTCACCCAGCTGGCTTCGTGAAGGGAAAGTGGAGATAATCCTGTCCCTTCCCCGGCAAGCAGATGAAGTGTCATCCCCAAGCTGAGAGGAAGGGTGCTGGCAGCACAGGAGGAGGAGGACAGCTTCCTTCACAGGAGGCTTTTATTAAAACTGGGTGACGTCTACAAGGATACAGTACAAAAAAAATTTGGTCCATGGAAAAAAACCCCATAATAGTCAGTTAAGAAAAGCAGTTACTCTGCAACAGCTACGTTTGCCTACACAGGACTCGGCATCCTTCCCCTGAGGAGTCATGGGCTGCTTCATCAGCACCAAGATCTTCACCCCAGGACCACGGAGGAGCCGCTTCCTAAGGGGGCAGAGGAGAAGGGAAGTCGAGAGTCTATTACTCACAGACATGTATAACACAGACACAAGGAGTAGGGCCACCCGAATTCATAGCAACCTTCCCAACCACACCAAAGGTGGGGGCGGGGATAAGGGGGGGTCATCAGTAATGTGACTTTGCAGCTATTCCAAGAGAATCCAACCAACTTTCAAGTCCATTTGCATTACAGTCCCGAGCAGAAATACCAAGACCCAGGTCAAGAGAAGCCATTCTCTTACACCTGACCACTAGTAATTCATTCCATGAAGAGGCATCTGGGCTGCTACTCCCCCAGAGTAGAGACAAACCTACTCGTACATTCCTGAAACCATGCTGGGCCTTATGGCAGCCGCACAACCTACAACTTGACTAAAACCAATAGGAGCTTCAGCATGGAAACACACCTGCTAACTCATATATGCTTGAAGATACATCCATTCCCAAGGACTGTCCTGCTCCACCCTCAGATCCACACGAGTAAGCCTCTGGTCCCCACAGCAAGTGACACAGGATAACTGTCCCAAAGGAATGAGCCTACAACACTGTGTCCCTGCACAATTCCACCAGGCAGTTGCCGCATCCCCTCTCCCTGCTACAGGGAGAACAAGCAGCCAGATGGTTTCATGCAACAGCAAGTGGAGGTCTTTTGAGTGCAGAGAAGTTTCACCACTCCAGTGCTTCCACATCCCTGCAGTAAGCCAATGCCTCCTCTGCCCTGTGATCCCAGCCTAGGACAGTCTGTCAAAGAACACAAACAGAACAGGGCAGGGAAACAGGGGCAGGAGAAGAAGTGATTCTCCACACAGTCCAGTAACTTCCTCAAGGAGGAGTGACCTATGAGGCAGCCCAGTGCAGCAGCACCCTCCACACGAGGGAGTGAGGGCAGGGAGGTATGTCAGCTCATGGCATCCTGCCCACTACATCTCCTGGTAGCTTGCTATAACACGAGGCAGGGAAGAGACTAGCCACAGAACTCCACCTGTACAGCAGCTCCAGGCTTCCCAGAGCCAGGTCTCGTGTGCCACAACTAGATGCTAGTTGGAGGAAGAACAGGTTGTGGCTTCTGAACTTGAGAAAGGCTCCAAGTCAGCGGTTGCACTGGCTATGGGGACACACTACAGGCAGTGCAGAGTTGAGGGGAGGCTCTCGGAAGCCTTGGGACTGACAAGGCAACAGTCAGGAAGAAAACCAGGTAGAAATGTGTGTTCACTGGAGCCTGTCTGCTTGCCACAGCCCAGCAGACTGCAGGTGTCCTGGAGCTGCCCCAACAGGGACAATGCCAGGATGAATAATGAGGCGGCCTCGCTGCCGGAGTGGGATTATGTGAGCTTTAACAGTGTACTCTGCAGCTCTGGCTCCACAAAGAGCTGGGATGCCTTCTGGTGGGGAGGAGCAGAGCATCTATGTGTTACGGATTCCCAGGGCCTGCTCCAGTTCCTGCCGTCTCTGCTGCACCTGCAAGAGAAGCCAGAGCGGAGCATTAACACACATGGATGGTGCAGCACCACAGCATCCCAGTAACACAGGACCCAGCTGGAAACTGGGTGAGCTCAAACTGGGAGCAAGATGTCCACAAGTGGAGCTTAACACTGCCACTCTCCCCCAGCAGCATCTGCCCCCAAGTTGTGGCAGGTACTCAGAGGCACTGGGTATAGAGGAGGACCCGTGCTCGGGGACACTCACCTTGGAGTAGAAGTATCTGCACACAGCTTCCTGAGCCCACGGCTGGAAGTAGAACTCGGCTCTACGCTCCTCTTCCGGATTCCCAACAACATCAGTCATTGTCTGGAGAGCACAAAGGATGAAGCAGTTCAGGGAGTGCAAAAGCTCTAGCTGTGCTGAGCAAACCCACAGCCCTCCCCTTTCCTCAAAGGCATTTCAGTAGAGTCAGGTCAGGTTCTTCCACTTGACTCCCAATTCTAGTCCTGCTTTCTGAGCAGGAAATTGCCTCTCTCTCTCAGTGGGAGCTGGTTATAATGAGGGAAGCGTGTGACTGGATCCACCTTCCACACAAGTCAAAGCTTTTACCTTTAAATCCCGGCACTGGGACTGGAGCCAGTCGTTGATGAAGCCCTGAGGATCTCGGGCAAAGCTCAGCATGAACTCCCGCTGGGTCTTCAGCTGGTTAATTGTCTCTATTGTTTCATGGATCTGAAGGAGATAAGTACAGAACTAAACTGCTGAATAGGGGAAAAACTCAGACTGAAACATCAAGAGATGGCAGCACATAAAGGCAAATTCTTAATAGTCCCTGGTTGACTTACACCTATCCAAGAGGGTTTTTCAGCTCCCTGAACTGTCCCGTTCAGGGCTCACCTGCTCCAGACACATTCCCAGCCAGCAAGGAGGAGGGCAGACCTGAAGGAGCTCTCCCTACCTTGTTATCCAGAGCAGCAATTTCCTGTTGACTGGCTGTGGATAGCAGAAAGGAATTCATCTGAGTTTTCAAGGTATCATCCACCTCCACATCAATGTCATAGCAAGCTGTTTTCTTCTGGTCGTTTGGGTCAACACTAAGGGGCAGCCACAAGAAAGAAGCTAAAATAAGTGAGTAGCTCAAGAAAGCACCAAATTGTAGCTCCTGCAGGATGATGCAGCATATGGACTGCAGGCAGGGACAAGCCACGTTAGTGTTAGAGCTGAAGTTAACACCAAGCAGCAAAGCTCCGCTGATGTCTTTGCAGCACAAGGACCAAGGGATTGCTCCAAGCAGATTTCTATCTACAGAAGTGGAATGCAAAGGACAGCATGAACGTGGGAGTGCCTTGTGGAACAGAGGGACGTGGTAAACGAAAGAGGCGGCTGTTCTTGTACAAAGAAACAATGACAGGCAACAAGGGAACTGCTGCTGAAACCCAGAACATAGCACATCGCCTTCCTGCGCCAGCTCCATCCAGCCCCTCCACTCCTTCTAGAAATAGAAAGAAAGACAGGAAGACAGGCTGAGAAAGTTGGGGCTGTTCAGCCTGGAGAAGAGAAGCTGCATGGAGACCTCAGAGCAGCCTTCAAATATCTGAAGGGGGCTACAAGGATGCTGCAGAGGGGCCTTCACCAGGGACTGGAGTGATAGAACAAGAGGTGATGGGTTCAAACTGGAACAGGGGAAGTTCAGGTCGGATAGAAGGAATAAGTTCTTCCCTGTGAGGGTGCTGAGGCGCTGGCACAGGGTGCCCAGAGAAGCTGTGGCTGCCCCATCCCTGGCAGTGTTCAAGACCAGGTTGGACACAGGGGCTTGGAGCACCCTGCTCTAGTGGAAGGTGTCCCTGCCCGTGGCAGGGGGGGTTGGAACTGGATGATCTTAAGGTCCTTTCCACCCCAAACCATTCCATGATTCTAGGAATATGAATAGAAAGATGAGGTCAAGCAGAGCAGTGATCTCACCTGATCACATGATTGATGATGATCGGCTCTGGGGGCATAAGCAATGCATGAAGCCTTTGTGGGATCTCGGAGAACTTCATCCGCTGGGATTCAAATATCTGTGACAAATAGAGGGTTAAGGGAAGGGGATGGGGCCTCAGTGCCAGGGATCACTGGCTGCTGACAAAGCAAAGCTGAGGCAGTCGCTTGTTCCAGCCCCACTTACCTGCTGGAGGTATTTGTCACAGATGACATATTCCCTCTCGTGAGGGTCCTGGAGCTTGTGGGTCTTGATATACTGCCACAGTGCCTGGATGATCACTGGCCGGGTCTGGGTGTGAATCCCCAAGAGACGAGCCAAGCGAGGATCCAGTTTGAACTGCGGAGGCTGAAACACAAAGCACAGCAAGGTGAGATGGCCCCAGACAGAGCTGGCTGTGCCCAGCACTGCCACTCCCAGGACTTACCTGGTAATCCAGCATCAGGAGGACGGTACAGCGCACATTTACATCTCCTGGCCTCTTCACCTGAAAGCCATCTGTCTCCTGAGTTGTAGCAGTCCTGTGCCACTGCAACAGGAGGGGGCATTTAGAAGCACTCCCACCCTTGGTTCCCTTTGCTCCTGCTGCTTGACACCCAACAAGCCTGCCAGTACATCCCACCCACCTGAAGTTCACCATTCCCATAACAAGAGTTAACACACTTGTTCAGACCCCAGCAAGTCAGAGGGAAAGCTAAGATGAGAATTTAAGAGCTTCTGGCTCCCAGCCACTTGTTCAAGCCTGAAGTGTCCCCACCTCTAGAGTTACAAGAGTTATACAAACCCTGTCTGCTGAAACACCAACCCACTTTTAGAGGTAACACAGCAAAAAGAAGCTCACCTCTACTAGGTGATTGTCAGGGCCATACAGGTCTTTATCAAGTTCAATGACCAGAGATTTAAAGAAGGATGAGAACTTTCTTTTCTGCTTGGTGGCATCATATTTGGACAAAGCAGACTGCAAGCAACACAGGAAGGAAAAGCATTAGGACAGCAAGTCTCAGCACTCAAGCACAGCCACCGTGCACGACAGCGTTCCTTTAAGTTCTGAACACCTAAATTCACCAACGTGTGCTTGAAAATCAAGTTCCAAGTCAGAAAGTGAAAGACTGGAGTTAAAGATGAGCTTGCAGGAATTAAATCACTCAGCAATCACAGACAATGCCCCCATTCTCAGAGCCAGGGTACACCAGTGCCACTGATCTGCTCTCACCAGTAATTCTTAGAGCTATAAGAACTTTGTATAACTCATGTCCTTGGACCCATCGGTCTCCAAGTTGGGCTCTCGGTCTCGTCACCATCAGACTCCTTGGGAAAGAGATGAAGGAGGATATCAAGCCCCTCAGACACCAAGAAACTGCTTTCATTGCCAGTTCCAGAAGCACACCGCTGGGTATTTCACACTTACATCTTCCAGCAGCCGTCCTTCCACCCGGAGCTCCCAGGAGGCCACTGTCCCTTCCCCATCCTCCGCGTCTGACTTGGCTGGATTGAAGGTATTGGAGATAAAAATACGCAGCTTTCGTTTTTGCTAAGAGGAAAAGCAGTGGCACAGAGTTAATTCTCAACGAGAGGGTTACCTTGCTTATGTTCTGCTAAAACGAAGCTCGATGGGTTTAGCTGCCTCATATTCCCCCTCTGTTGGGGCAGACAACAAGGAAAGAGGCATTTCTGTTCCGTTGCTATGTCTGGAGCACTAAGATTCCTGATACTCCACACTTACAGAGCCACGACAGCTTCAGTGCCCTCCTGCTGTCTTAACTGAAAGGAAGAGCCTCCAAACCTTGCTTCAGATAACCACAAACACAGCCCTCCCCTACCTTAATGGGTCTCTTCAAAGCCTCCTGGATATCCAAGCGCTTCCTCATGATGGTCTGGTCCAATTTCCTTTCAAAGGCCAGAAGGTCCATGTAGGCCTGAGACTCAGGTACAAGTTCACGAATCTAGAGCCAACCAAGAAGACAAATCACTGTCAGTGCCCCTGTCCCTCTCCAGCCAACTCCACACCAGCACAGGCTGCAACCACACTCACCCTCTGAGGTAGAATTTTATCAGCCATCTTCTTCTTTTTAGCACTGTTAAGGAAGAAGATGCACAGAGAGGCATTAAACCAGCAGCCACGCAGCAGGTTACCTGCAGCATTCACAGAGGGAGCCACACAACAGCTCCTTGTCTGGCGGCTACTGTGGCATTAGCAGTGCTCTCATCTGGATGCCAGGCCCAGCCTCAGGGTCTCATTTCCAGGGACATTCATCACTGCACAGCAGGTTTTGACCCCCCTGCAGCAGGGTGAGTGCTTCACACCCCACCTGAGAGCTGAGATCCAGCAAACACGGCCACAACGCCTCATCCCAGTGACTCCCTGACCTCAACCCGCTGTACATTGACTTTTCCAGGAGGTGCATTTGCAATCAAGGCACGACTCACTGAGGCACCACGTTACATGGCCAGAAACGCTCCTGTCTCCTGGCTGCACATTATTCCTTCATGCTGGAAGCCCCCCACTCCCCGAGGAGCTCACAAGGGAGCTGATGCCCTTTCAGCCCTCAAGAACCAGCCACGAAGCTGGAAC